ACCTCAAACGCAGCTGTCTTTGCCACTCACAACGTTTGCTGCCTTCCCCGAAAGCTACCGCATATTATATAAGAACCTAATCTATATATCTCGAAGGCTTCGAACGGATTATAATGCAGCATGAAATTGCATTATTATTATTACGCAGCACTCGACAAGCTTTGAGCTTTGTATCTGTATCTGTGTCTGTTTGCTGCTGCGGAAGCGCATCGTGAGATACGAGCCACAATTCACAACGATCGTAATTAACAAGAAACCTTAATCAATGCAAAGGGCATGCTTGCAACAAGGTTGCTTGCCACAGCGGAAATGTATTTTGTATTCCCAACTCTGTGATGTTTATCTATAAGATTTGGGCTCTTGTCAGCTCACGAATAATTTGGAAGAGTGGCGCTTGTGTGGATAACGAAAATTATAGGTGCATTTCATTTAACCTATTTTAAAGTTTTAAATTATTTAAAAGTAAACCTGTAATTATTTACTCTACCTAGGAGTAGCCTGGTTACAGGTCTTAATTCTTAACTTGCCATTTATATATACAAAAATATGAAGTAGAAAGGAGACAGACTTTTATGTATATACATACACATTACTGAAAGAATAACAAAGTAGAGAGCGGCTCAAAGAAAGAGCTGAGATAATAATATGAAAGACAGACAGAGAGAGAGAAAAAATCAACTTTAGTGAGATTGCGAGCAGAGATAAGTCAATTAAATTGCCAAAGTCACTTGTTAATATAACACTTAGGATCAAAGCATGAAGCCCCGTAAGTCCAACTTGACTTCATGAGAATCGCATAGAAGGCCGTCATTTAAAAATGGTTTTCTTTTTAATTGAAGCTCAGCATTGCATCCGCTCAAGAGATGGCGATATGTCCATAACATTGCTCACTAAGAAACTCAGACTTTTTCATTGGTTTCATAGAATAATAAATTTATAAATTACAGGTTAAATTACGTTTCCATTTTAATTTTAATTCGCTATGATGGGCAACTTGCTCTTTGAAGGGCATTCAAACGTCGCAGCTCAGCCAAAGCTTCGCCAATTTGTTTTGTTTTTAACATCAAATCTATAGATAGCTAATATTGTTTAGCCATAAAATAAGGTATTGACAACACAGGTCATTGATATTGTGAAATTAGTAAATGCTAATCTCTCGCTTTTTCTGCTTAATGTATTTCATTCATAGATAGACAAAACGAATCAGATTATATTTAGTGTAGATTATTATAAATGTGGGCAGGTTCTTGTTATAGAAAATAATATTATATTTTATAAAAAATATATAAGTTTCTTTATACATATGTGGAGTTTGTTCCAATTGATTGACTGCTAGGAAATTTTGACAGAAGTTGCCTTTTGGGCTTAAAGTAAGTTCTAAGAATAAGCTTGGAAAAGTCAACCACCATGTCAGGGAAAAACTGTGATCAAAGTTTGTGTGGAAAATATCAAAAACAACGCAAGCCATTTATAAACCTTTTGCAAACGTGACAAACAAGCGGCAGGTCGCTGCTTCAAATACAGCAACAATTTTCAATTATTATTTATTAGTTCATAATATTTTTTTTCATAATTTCAAATTCCTTGTGTTTGCTGTAAAGTTAATTCTGATAGCTACTGCAAATTCTAAACGTTTTTTAATCACACTTTGGTCCACAAATTGTTGCATTATCATGCCCATATGAGGGGTCTCGATAGTCAAGACACATGCACACTATAAGCAATTATTTATAATAATTACTTTGCTCAATATTTGTGTTAAAATTTTATGATTATTGCAAAAGTTTTCCGAGAAAGAGAAATCGCCAATTGACGATGTCCCCCACTGGGGAAAATGCAACCAAGTCAAACCAAACAAAAAAGCAAAAACAAATGCCACGCGTATGGGCCGAATGGGGCTTATAGAAATGTTGATGTCCATGTCGATGTTGATGATGATGCCACTAACTAACTAAGTCAAGTCAAGTGTTTGTGCATGTGTGTGGTTGTTGCCGCTTTGACGCGCCGGTGAAATGTGCGCAGGCGCAGTCGAAACACGAAACACGAAATTCAAAGAGGCTGCCGAGAAAAACACGCAAGTTGACAATTTTTATGCGTTTAGTAAATCAAAAACGCTAATTACCTGATTTGGTAAGCGGTTTCGAAATGCGAAGAGAGGCACTAAAATCCAACAGAAAATACAGCGAATAGAAACAAGGAGGAGTACACCAGGCTAGCAGATATCCTGTAAAAGGCATCGAGTTGTACATTACATACATTCAGATTAGTTTTCTCCATAACTAGTTATTGAAAATCTATATTTATCGATATCGTAAGCGCCCTTTCGATATCTCGATATACCATAATTTATTGTGCCCCGTGTCTCGATGCGTTTACCCGTTGAAATTGACGACATATGCCAGGTAAACCCGAGCTGTACGTCTATATATCGATATATATCGATATTTGTTGGAATGAGCTTGCAAATCGGCAACTATTGGCACTAGGCTGAATTGGATATTTATCAAATTGCTCTTAAGATCGATGTTTATGGATTTAATGTCGAAATCAGTAATTATCAGCCCTAGCTTGAAATCGATATATATCGGTATGCGCTTGACCTCGATATCCATCGACTTGATCTTAAAATTCCAGCTAAATGCAAATAATATAAATATTGAATTTGCAAAACGCAGATACCCCACCCGTTTCAATGATTACAGGGTACAAAAATAAAGTAAGTAAAAAAATAAAATAAATATTGAATGCACATAGTTGCTCTGCTTTTGCGTTGTTTAACAATTTCACACAAATATTTGCACTTGATGTTGCAGTCGTTAGTGAAATGCGTTGGCCAAAAAGTGAAATGCGTTTTAGAAAGGAAAAGGAAGCGTGCTGGGAAATCTTCCAGCTGCTGAGCTACTGAGCTGCTGTTCGCGAAATTAACGCGCAACCTTGACTCGGTAATAGCTTTATTATGCGGGGTACATGTATGGGTATATGTATGTCTGTAGAGTTATTTGGATACCCCACTGAACCGCTGCTCCAGTGACTGTTTACCAAGATGTGTTTTTTAGTTTTATTTATTTTCGTATTTTTATGGCTATATCTGTGGCGAAACTTAACGCCCTGTTAATCCGACTAAATGTAAATGGCGCTGCGGCAACCCTGGCGCAAATAAATACCTTTCAGCCGCCCTCTGCTCGAGTCTTACAGTTTGCTTAATAGTTTTTATTTTTGGTAGCTGCGGGTTTCAATTGCGCACGATTAACGCGTAAATAACACGTGAAAATTTTGCAATTTTCCGGCAAGGTTGCCGCACTTGATGTAGTTTTCCAGTACTGCCTGCCACTGATACTTCCACAATATTCCGAGTCTGAGGCCAGCTGCATGGCAATGAGCGTTAATCAGTGGATGTAAATCTCCATGTTGATGGGAGTTAACCACTTACTTTTGTTTGGGGCATTATTTTTATGCAAAACGCTTGCCATTTCGCTTGACAGACCCCCAGACCCCCATCCATGGGCCATAACTATTTGCTACTCCATTTTCATATGTGAATGCGACGTGTTTTTTGGCTAAAATGAAGTTGGCTGGCAAAAGGCAATTAAGACTAATTGGGTGGCTGTTGTTCGACTTGGTTTTGTAGTCGGAACTGGAAGTGCAGCCCACCGCAGTTGCTGCTCTGCATAAATTGAAAAACCTTAATGAAAGGTTTCTCAAAATTGCATCATAACTAGAAAATGGTCTGCTTAAAGGCCGTTAGTTCATATGAGATTTTTAGTCTGTTTTCTAAGCTCCAAGTCTGTTTAATAAATATATAACTTATATGCCACGCTCATAATTGGCCAAGAATCTGGCCAACTTCAGTAGCCAAAACCGCGCACACTAACCCAAATACCTGAGGCAACATCGCTTTAACCACGGCTTCATCTTCTGCTTCAGCTTCGGCTCTGTCAGCCTTCCCGGCCACGACCCCGTCATCGCATCGCATTTAAGATTTAAGCAAGCATCGGCAAATGGCAAAGTCAACCAGCTGGCACCTTGTGCGCAAATCTCGAAGTGAAAAAGCGAAAATCGGGGCGAACAAATTTCAAAATTGTACCCAAAGTATACCCTGTGATTAGCTGCGTTTTTATACTCCAGCATAGTCATCAGTAAGCGGGAAGGCTATAAATAATAATTTTAAATGATCAAAATAATTTACTTAAATATAAATAATATAATATAGATAGTTAAAAACAATAAAGTGTTCTGAAATCGAAAAAAAAGGAATGACATGGGATGAAGGATTACAGAGTATCTAATATAAGTCAATTTCTGCAAGATTAATTTATGATGTTATTTTTAGAACAATAAAGAATTTTGATTTCTTGTTTAAGAACTGTTTATTCCAGCAATGTGTCTGAGAATTTTGGTATTTTCAATTTGAAAACTCCGTAAAACATTTAATAAAAAAATACTACATTAACTTTTTTCAAATAACTCAGTCTTCGTTAGGTTTACGTACTCCCAATATTCCCCGTTAATTCTTTTCCTATGCAGCATAAAAACAAACAAACAACGGTCATTAGAAGAGTTTTCTGAATTTTGGGCGCGCTGAATTCAAATTGGTCGCCGCCAGCCGCAGCAGCATCTGCACAATGCTTAGAAACAACAACAAGCACATACATAGCTGCGCGGCTGCGCAGTTGTCGCTCTCACTCTTTGCTGCTCTCCCACTCGCTCTCTCTTGGACTCTCTGCTTCTGTCACTGTCTGCTGCCTTGCACATTACCCGTTGGCACTTTTTCGGTCATGACATTCGTTCAGTCTGCATTTGACTTGCGGTACGTTCGGTTGGTTTCGCTGCGCGACTGCGCAAATCGTCAAGTGAAAGATTCGTCTGCTTTGACAGTTGTTTTTGTTGTGGCGAGTGCGAGTGCGGGTGCATGTTAACGGTAAATCGAGGCTGGCGAATCAGAAAAGCGAACGCTCGCGCGACCGTGACAAGAATTTTGCTGTGGCATTTGCCGCAAATGTTCGAAGAGTTAATGAAGTGCAAAAATGTTTGTTGTCGTTGATGTTGTTGTTGGTGTCGCCAAATTGCAGTTGTTGTCGTTGTTGTTGTTGACGCTGCGGCAGCAGGCGTTGTGAACACTTTGATTTGCGGTTGGCACCGCCTGACCCTGGCCCTGGCCCTGGCTAATCAACTGGCGGCTGTCAAGTGAAAATTGTGAAGAAAACTTTAAGTCGACTGTGCCTGTGAAAATTTCCCTCTCTCCTTTCATCTCAAGCTTATTAGCGTTGCCAGCAGAACTCGAATCCAAGCAATGTAAGTTTTTCCAAAATATCTCAAATTCCAAAGTTTTAGAAAACTTAAGATTTCACTCGAGTTTTGGGCTTTTGCCCAGCCAATTGTTAATTTATGCGACTTGAGTTTTATTTCCCATAACAACTTGATTAGCTCTGAGGGCGCGCCCAATTAGCGGCCCAGCTTGGACAGCTAATAAAAAAACAACAAAAAACCAGATGAGCTGGGAAGTCTGTCTATTCTAATTGAATGAAATTAACCCACTTTTGGACGTTGTAAAAAGTTTGTTTGAAATTGTAGCGCTCCTCGTCGTATATTCACAATAATTGCCGCTTGGCCAACAATTAAAAGAAAGCTCGACTAGAGACCTACCCTTGTTCCTGTTCCGCACTTGATGCTGCCTAGACCCATAATAAAAAAGCCCATTCTTTATTCGGTCCTTATTGTCCGATCGATTTTAAATGTACAAGGCTTTGTGATTGCATTAAAATGTAGACGTATACCAAAAGTAAAGCAATGTCTAAGAATTCTCGTTTTTTTTTTTAAGCTTACGGGGGAAAGGTTTGACTATCCAAAAAATCATTCCATTTGGAATCGCTAAATCTAGGCTGAAAATATATATAAGTACTTCGAATTTAACGAAATGTCAGTATATAAGAACTGAAAATTTGAAATCTGTAGCTTTTGTAGTTTCTTAAAAAGGTAAACGTACATATATAAGGTCAGCAGGTCAAACGGGGCCACAGATGCCTCCGTTAGATGCATATACAGAAAATCAATATACCCTTTTTAGACACTTCCCAGGTGTACAGGGTATGAAGAAAGAAAAACTGTTTATGAATAAGCCGCCAACAAGCACGCCAGCTGCCAAATTATAATGAGCTGTAACCCAGTCTGGGTACCAAATAGGTAGAACATTGCCTCAAGCCATGTCTCTGGGTCCAGCTCTTGATCCGTCCCCCTTTCTGGCTGTTTCTATGCCGGGCAACACCTTCGGCCAGAAGATGAACAACAAGAGTTGCTGCCTTTGTCTCAAAAATCAATCAATAACGTTTGTTAAATACTTTTCAATGCAACATTTTTGGGCCAAGTTCTGATATGGCTTAAATGGCTGGGCTATAAACAGTTTATTTGGCTTTTGTTGGCAAATTTGGAGCGTGTCAAAAATTTTCTATTTGCCATGCTAAATTTGTACGTTTTGTTTTACATAAATAAATCTGCGTTGGTTTTGTATTGTCTTGTTTTGCTTTTTGGGGTCAAGTTGATGTTCAAGCTGATTCAGAATTCGAATTGATTTACAACTTAGCGGTAGTTCGAGTTTTATTAAGTAGTTTGTTGTTAATTCCTGTAAGGTGTATTACATAAAAGTATATGATTTTTAATTTATTTACTTTTAGTTTAATGCTTACTTGATTCCTTAGAATTTCCTTAGATTTTTACATATTATTTTATATACATATATTAGATGAGATTCTTACACAATCATTTTCAATAAAACTTTTTTTACCCAAACTTTTAAGGGCTCATTCCTAATCAGTATCAACTCCCTAGAGTCTATGTCCGTTTGTTTGTCTCTTTCGATGTCTTTACGATATCTTAACTAAAATTTGAAGAAGGTTAACTTCCAAGCAGTGTATAGATCAAAGTCGGCATGTATTCAAAACCTTGTCTTCCAGATATCTTAACTAAACTGGGAATTTGCTGAAGCTCTTGCCACACAAGACAAATCTTATCAATAATGAATTAGTATATCTATAGTAAGAGTCGGTTGAGTCGCTATATCAAAACTTCAATTAAATGTTCGTGTTAAAAACTAGTTAAGTTTCTCCAGATATTTAAAATAAATAGACGAGCTGTACTAGACTTCAAACATATCAGTAAATATTATTAAGCATGAGACTACTATTATAGCTCTATAGAAAGAGTTGGTTGGAATTTTTGCTTAAATACTTTTGTTGTTTCTCAAGATATTTTGAATAAGTACGCTCCAAAAATAAGCACGACTAATACTACTATATCATATAGTTCTTAGGAAAAACTTTGTACTTACAACTTTTTCGCTTGTGTTTCCAATATATAAACAAAATCCTAACACGACTGCCTTTGTCGTCAATGGCAGCAATTGCTTGGAATACGTTTTTTTTAATGAAAACCAAAATATTTTCCCAGATATTTTTACCAAATCTCGCACTTAGCATAACGAGCTTTAATTTGTTATATGGCCGCAAGGGTATTTAACTTTCGGCAAGCTGAAGATTCTATTCTGATTCACTCTAGTTTATTTTTGGCTGTGCTTCTTGCTAATTGCAGCAGCTCTCAGCTTCTTTGCCAGATTTTAAATAATAATAAAAAGGAAAAAAAATGTTAATAGCCAGCGCACGTGAGCGCCAATTGCCGCTGGAGCTCGTTATGGCCAGCAAAAAAGGTGGCTCGATTGCATGCGAGCGCCTCTCGGCCGGGGCAATTAGAAGTTTGTTGGCCTGCCAAAATCACATAGAAAGGCAGCAGCAGCAGCAGCAGCAAAAACAACAACAACAGCAGCAAGGGCGACAACAAACAAAACAATAAAAACAAACATAGCAAATTGTTGTAATAATAGTCGTAAAAAAAGTTATGTTTGTCTTTTGCTTGAACAACAAATCATTTCACATTTCCACTTGGGCTCCAACGACGACTCCAGCTCTGGCTTGGACGCCGTCTCTGTGCCGGGTTCATTAAACCGTCGTCAGCTAAGAACCCGAGTGTGGCTAACAACTAAAATGGACCGCAGAGCTCTACAACTTTGGCTTCCGTTCTCAGCTGCGTAGCTGTCACCAGCAGCTGCATGTGGGCTTACATAACACGCCCCCCTGGATCCCGCTCAGCCAAGCGTGTCGCCATCTCAGGTGTCATAGGCTTTGGCTTTTTGTGGCTTTTTCTCGCGTATCTTTCAATTTGTCGCCCATTGTAGCATAATTGTATTGTAATCACAGCTCAGCCCTTTGCTTGGGCACATCCATCTGGTTGGCTGTGCGTGTGTATCTGGAAATCTGTTTGCTTAGCCGCGCTTTGTGCCGGCTCATGTTTTGGCCATTTGTTGTTCTGGCCGCGTGAGGAAGTCATCTGCATGAGCTCAGCAAAAATCACATACAGTTTGCGGCTTTATCTGCGGGATTTGCGGCCAAACATGTAGCGAGAGAGAGGCAGAGAAGACAGAGGCAGCGTGAGACAGGGGCTATTGTAGCTGGCAAATCCTGTGCAGTGTTTAGGCCACACGTACGGCTGTAGATTTTGCCAATTGGTTCCCACATTGTGCAATCTGCAGCTGCCTGACAATTACTTAGAACGAACTCGCAACAAAGAAGGGGTATATTTATCTATCTATCCATCTATAAGTTTGTATATATATTTATTCATATACATATATATACATGTATTATAATGTCAACTGATCTATCGATATTAGTTTGTCTGTCCGATTGCTTATGTTGATCTGAGGTTCTCATACCTATTTTGCGTAATGTCCATCTTGAGAATAATGATATTTCAGCACCCCCAAATGTCTTAGGTGTTCTGTCTGTGCCCTTTGAAGCCCCCTCCCCTGTGCCCTTAAGGACCCTTAAGGACCTGTAGCGCCTACAAGGCTGGATTTTCTACCACTTCGAGAAAGACTGGTCTAGATGACCGCCTCGATATAAAAGCCAAAGAAATTGTATATAAATACAAAAAAACTATTTTAAAAGGCACAGCCTTGGCTTTTGGTGAACGGGCACACTTAAACTTAACCCTAAGGTTCTGAAATTTTCATAAAGAGCCGACTATAGGTACATTAGTAATTAAAAAATAGTTATTTATATTTGCGTGTGAAAGAAAGATAGATAGAAGGTCGTAAGAACACTGATAGATGGTGTCTTTTAGTCAGGCCACTCTCGACGTGTACATTCTACCGTGTTTATTATTATATAAATCTTAAGTAGATCTTAACTAGCCCACCAAATAGTTTTCTCACCGAAACACACCTTCTTCAGGTGCTAGTCGGAACCGGAGTAACGGCAAAGCGCATTTAGAACGAAACCAAAACAACAACTGACAACAAGTGCCCCCGGAGTGGAAGGGGGGGGTACTACATTTAATGCGTCTACCTGTCCGTTAAGCCGGGCCAGCCACAGCCGCGGCCTGAAGCAAGTAATGCACGAGTCTCGAACTCTTTTGGGTGGGTCACTTCCAGCTTTGGCAGCGCTGCGCTTGGCTGCTTCTCATATGCTGCTTGTCGTCCCACAGGGCCACAACAATTGTTGCTAAACATAAAATGTTTAATTCTTGGGAACACAAACATATTACAAGTTTTCTTTACCAAAACCCACCCCCAAGCCGCTCCCAGCGTAAAGTCTTTGGTTCAGCTTCAGCGCTCATCGGCGCTCGAATTCCATGTAAATATGCGAGTTGCATTCAACAAAACAGGTGAAACATGTGGAAAATAACAAGAACTTGTAAAATATGAAACTTTCTTCGAATGTGTGCCATAGTACATGAAAAGTATAGTCTAAGTGGTTTAATAGAAGCAACATCGAGACGAGCTCCTGTGATCATGCATCCGATTTTTTACTTCGTGCATTCAAATTACTCACAGAGTCCATATACAGTTTTATTAAAATACATCGTGTTTTTCTGCTTGAGATATTCCCATTTTTTAAGAAGTGCTAAGTGCCTTCTTCAGCTTAAAACAAATAAAAATGTATTTGAAGAAAAAATTATGTTTGTTTGGGGTAAAAGACCTGAAATAGCATATCCAGTAAATGGGTAGAAAAAAGAGCTATAATGCAGGCAGTTAGATTGCTAGAAAGAGACAAGATATACATATATGCATTCATATAAACAAGAGATAAGTTGAGTCAATGTCAAAGACTATAAGAACCTAGGGACTTCAGAGTTGGAATATTTGAAGGTTATTAAAAAGAACTTATTTATTTTTGATGTTGGACAGCTATGAGGCAGCAAATTTGGTGTATAAGTAATGATATAGCACATCCAATTATATTAATATATACATATGCAAATAATTGGTAAATAGAAACGAGAAATATTAATATTAATTAATGTCGCTATCATTTGGTCAAACTGACTGCCATCAACCATCTTCTGTTAATTAATCTAATTAAATTAACTCCTAGAGTCCGACGATAACATATAAAACACTGGGTATTCCAGAGCCGGCAATTCGCGACATAAACTATTGGATCTTGGATCTCAATTCGATAACCTTTACTCATTTTCAAACAACGATCTGACCGGTTTAACTTCGCGAGCTATTGTCAATTCTTATAGATGATAATGACTTGGCTAGTGCAGACAGAGTCCATACAGATCACAGATATGCTATGCACGCATTACCCATTTAGAGCTAAGGAAATAGGCTTTGCGATTGTTGCAGGTAAAATAGTTAAAATCAAATATGTTGAATGGACTAAATGCCCATTATTCAGCATTATTTATGGCACTGTCTTTGAATAGTTTTAAAAGCTGCTCCTTTGATTTGATGTTTTAGTGCTTCATTGTTTACGCCTTGTTTTTTCCTAGTTGTCATGTGCGGAATGGAAAAACTCCCACAACAAATGGCAAACTTGTTGTTGGTTTGGCAATCACATTCATGGCTAGATATGATATGTGAGTATGCAGACATGTAAGGGGTGTATTTCCTGAACAATTGCAGAGCCTCGACTCGACTCAACTCGGCTCGTTAGTTAGTTTGGTTGTTTTGTGATTACGCGTGAGGTCTTAAGTTATGATAAATTATGTGGACCCCGCCCCAGGCCGACGGTGAAAGTGGCAATTGTTGTTTGTTGTTTGTGTCTAAGCGAATTCTTACCCAGACAGATTTCCTATTTATTAACAATTGCCAAATGGCATTTTCTTTCTTTTTCTTCGTGCAGCAGCAGAGACTACGCATAGATAAAATATCTGAGATTGAGTTCCAGTTTGGCAGATCGCCCACGCAACGCACATGGAGCCGAAGTTGTTGTAAGACGCAGTTCACAGCTCACTCTCTCTGTCTGTCTCTCACTCTCTCTCGCTCATCGCATCTACATTGCATCGAACATTCCGCATTTGTATAAAGCAGCACTCCACATTAACCCATTGAGCTACTGCCCTCGAGCACAGTAATCAGACTCGGCCTTGTCGACAGGAAACAGCTGCTGCTGAAGAATCACCAGGACGCCATTTTGCAGAGCCATTGCCTGTCCATGGCGGACAGTCGGGAGCGCATACGCGGACCCTCGCGCGATGGCCGTGAATTTCTGACCAGTCCGCGTCAGGTGCTGCGCCGTCTGATGCTGCTCTCCGAGGGCCGGCAGTATCGGGAGGCGGCGGGCGTGGTGGGTCGGCTGGGTCCCTCGGTGCTGCACTCGGTGATTGCGGAGCTGCCCATCGATCTGCTGCTGGAGCATCTGCCGCACAGCGCCTATCTGCTGGAGTCCTTCTACACGAGGTAAGTCGCTCAGTAAGTCGCCTCCACTGTTAAGCCAACTACCCGCCACTTGCTCCTACTGCAGGCTGACCACGCTGAACAGCACGCCCAGGCCGGATGTGCCCAGCGAGACAGTTGTCTGGCAGCTGGTGCGCCTCTTTGCCAATCCACATGAGTCTGGCCTGCGACAGCGCTGCTCCAAGTTGCTTCAGTCGTTGGCGCAGTTTGAGCCTGGCTTGCGGCAGGCGTTGCGCGAGCGTCGACGCAGCTTTGACAATGCTGTCCAGGGCTTGGGCGTACATGGACTGACCACAGATGCCTCCGGGCAGCTGATATCGCTGCATGTGGCACTCAAGACTGAGCTGCAACGACATGTGGATACATACAAGATGGCCATACACAAGCTGGAGGAACTGAGCATGGTCACGATCAATCAGGATCCGGCGCACTCCTCGCACCAACGGCTGCTGGCCATTAACTATGGCGACATACAGCAGCGTTTGATAGACAACAAGACCCTGCTGACCATGCTGGACAAGCCAGCGCTAAAGCAGCTCCGCACGCTCGTCGAGAATCTCAGCACGCGCGTCGAGAACGACAAGGAGGTGTTGTCTTGTGTGGGCCAGGTGAAGCGTCTGGATGCCCAGGCGCATATCGAGAAGCGCCCGGCCGCAGGCCTATTGATGAACTTCTCGCGCGGCTGCGAGGTGGTGCTCCACATGATGGGACCCGAGAGTGTGCCGCCCAGTCCACTGGCGGCCACTAAAGTGACAGCCGCTGGCAGCGCTGGCGGCAGCAGCTGCAGTGATGGCTACCACTCGGATGACTCGGCCAGCGAGGATGGCAGGTAAGCTGACCAATTGTGCTGGTAGACTCGTTTTCTCTGCTCTGCTCACTTGACCTGGTTCGCTTGTGCTGTCACCCACGCACACACGCGTCCCCCTCTATAGCATACTCTCACTTGACTTCTATTCACTCGCATCCCACATCTCATTCGTGTCTGTTTCACAGCGAATTCGTGTCACACTATCGAAATCTCTACATTGAGAACCGAGCGGACGCCCTGGAGGCGTTGGACAGCTTGCCCCAGCTTAAGCATGTGCACAGTCTGAAGGCCAAGATACTCTTCTCCATGATTGTGGTAAGTAGCTTAGTCCAGAATACTTTCGTCTACCGAATAAACATAATTAGGAAAACCTCAGCATACTGTTGTAGCAACAGCCTTTGATATTAAAGTGGAATGTGCAACAAGAAATTATAAATTAAATTGTTGCATTCCTTGGGCTTACGAGCCTTGGGCTAACCGATCAAGTTCTTTGGCTCAGCTTAAACCATATTAGGAGATTTATATCAGGAATTATTATATAATTTACATTTATTATATAATTATGGATTCGTGTTTGATACGAGATGATGGGTTACTATAAAAGAACTAGCTTAATTTAATTAAAAATGGGCATAGACTAATGGAAACATTTACCTAATTTAGAGCTACGTTTTTATTGTTGTTTATTTTATTGCTTATTTCAATTTAATGGATGAAATTTGATCCGTTATTCAAATGCAAATTTAAAATTTTAAATAAGTTTTGCGAATGATAAAACAGTTATTTATTATGTCTGATGAACCGTTAATAAAGTATAATCTATAATCAATTTAATATAGATGAAGTCAAGAAATAATTATGCTTAAAATTCATATTTGGAATTAAATATATTACTTCTGATTTTAGTTTTTATTTATCTTCTTATATTAGTAAAAAGGCGTTTTATAAGGAAAGGAAATGGTATATATGAAATCGAATATTCAAAAACTAAATAAGGTGTTCGTTAGACTGAATTTTTATTTTTGCAATTAAAATTTATTTTGAAAACGATTAAATTAAATCAAATTTATAAATCATACTGATTATGGCGTTAGGAGCGGCTAGTTAGGCTGCGGTTGCTGCTGCGGTTGAGATACAACTGGGCTGCAAATTGTTATTGCAAAATATCAATTTGCAACGCAACGCTGCAAGCTGGCTTGGCATCTGTTCGAGTTTGTGGCACTGATTAAGTGTTATAGAAGAAAGTAAAACGCCTCGGGGCGAACCGGGCCAAGCAGAAATGCTGAGAAATTACGCTGGCGATCGGCCCAACTGCGGCTGGAGGAGCTTGTTTTGTTCGTAGGCAGCCATCTGAGGCTTGTAGATAAATAACTTTCGATCTTCGGCGCTGAATGGAGACAAGTGGATAGATAGATGAATGACACCGGCAATTGGCCGGATCAGCTGGTCTTGTGTTTGGCCGTGGGCAGCGATTGCACAGATGATTGGCATATTTTGAGACCTTCTTTTTCTACTTTTCTCTTCTTTTCAATGTTGCTCAGCTTTCTTTTCGCCTGTGCCACGGTATGCGCGAGCGCAAGGTGCTGGAGGTGCGCCGTGTGCTCAACTGCCCGCTGGAGAGCAGCAGCGAGACGACTTTGGCCCTGGATCGCTCTGTGCGCCATCATCTGCACGAGACAGCCGAGAGTTTTCCGCTGGGCGAGATCGAACGGTCCGTCTTTAATCAGGTGCTGTCCACTCTGCACGAGTATCCCTGCCTGGAGTCCTGTCCGCCGCTGACGCACTTTGTCAGCGCCTGCGTGCGACTGGCCTGGCGTATGATCAACCAAAAGGCGCCCTATTATCTGGACACCGATTTTAATTTGGGTAAGTAATTTACAAATGCATTTATCTATCGTGCACATCTACAAACTTGATGAACAAAAGGTTTGTCCCGTAAATTGATTGCATTTAAATTCGCTTCATTTTGGATATTAGATACATTTTTTTGGATATTCGTAAGAGTTTTTTAGACATTTGTGGACGTAAAAATCGTTTAATTTAAATGTATACATTTATTTTATTGCATTTTGTAGGTTTTCTATATAGTAATTCTCAAAATAATATACTTAAATATATATAACTCGTCATTAATGATTGATCTCTATTTTCTTAGGCTTTCTGCGTCCCGAGAAACACGAGCGCCATCCGCAGTCGGATCGCCGCTCGGACCTAATCAAAGCCTTCCTCTGGCCCGCCCTGATGCAGAACAACCAGTGCGCCTTCAAGGCCGTTGTGGCCACCTAATAATCCCGGCTGCCTAATTAACTAACTTTACAATTAACTTACGCAATTTGTACATAATTTATCTTACTCATAAACCCAATAAACGATAACCTAAACGCTAATCATGTCTATATACATGCATGTGTTCTCCCTGCCTAGGCACAGCTGATGGGCCTCAGGCGAACGCTCTGGCTGCGCTGCTTGTTGGTGCAGAGGAGCGCGTGTTCCACGTAGAATTCGATGATCTCGCAGGGCGAAGCGAAGTGCCGCTCGTGCGGCTTCAACTGGCCAATGGCGAAACGTTGTCGTCCATCGATTTGGCGCACAAACAGGTGATAGAACTGCCGATCCGCACAGATGCTCACAATGTACTTGATGGAAACATCCGTCGCCTTAAAGGGACGCACCAAACAGGCGCCATCCTCACGTCCGCAGAGCATGCGCTCCGCCATGTCCCGATCCACGGTGAAGTAGTATGCCTCCGTCTCGATTTGCCGCTGCTCGATCTCCACGTAGTTGGCATCAGCATCGTCTGCGTTTAAGTATGATGTGTGTGAGTGTGTGTGTGCGTAAGGTAAATATATTTAACCAGTTCGAACACACGGGCCTATATAATCATGTCCGTCTGTATTTAGACAAATCGAAATCGGAAAAGTGGACCACTATATTATATAGCTGCCATACGAACTGTGGAGTTTTCGTATAAAAAAACATTTATCAAGATATCTTGACCACTTACTATCCATTATATACTCCTAATATATTATATTTTATCGATTCAGCAAGAAATTGAATTTGTACAGAAACAATTCTTGTAGTTTTCTCTTCCTGTACTAAACTGGGATATATACTCCAGTAGACTCCTCATGATAAATCTTCCATCTTCAATTAATGCTTGATATAATATATATGTATAAGTTAAACATGCGCGGAGTCGACCCCTCTGGGTTTATTATCCAATTAAATTTTTCTGTCCCTTCTAGTCTAACACCTAATTATACACTTTTATCTCTTAAGAACATATTGTTAAAAAATGTTCAACAGATAAATGGAACAGATTGGCCGCAAATTAAGTTTTGGTTCGATTTTCAAGATATTTCAATGAAATTTGATTGCTAATCCTACTTTTTTATTAATTGGTTCTGGTTCTGAGCCGCCCATGGGAAAACTATCTTGATACCTCCAATCCTATTACATGTAAATATGCAACTGTTTTCCCCGCCCTGATATCAAAATTGTGATCGTTAAGAAAGCTTAGAAAGTCTCAGCCTACTCAAAGCTGAATAATCCTTCAGAATGTTTCCTGCAATTTCTCTGCTATCAAGACAGAGTCTACAATATACTGTTAGGAAGCTTGTGATGATGCAAAGTAACGATCGGTTGAAAATTGGGTCTAAATGTTTATAATATATCGTATAGTTTTCTTATCGATTAGTATATAACTAAATATAACGCAAATCGACTCTACGTTCGTAAGGGTATTGACTCTTCGGCATACCGAAGATAGCTGCTCTTCATTATCAAAGCGCTCGCCCAGAACTTACCCACAATGACATAATCGTGTGCTGCGGATCGCTGCTGATCGTCATCAACGATCGATTCTAAAACCCGTTTGCCCGCGTCGCTGTCGGCGTCAGCGTCAACGTCAACGTCACCGTCGTCGTCACCGGCCTGGCGACTGTAACCGCCGCAGCAGCAGGCGCAGCAGCCCTGCCGATAGCCGCGCTCCGTGAGGCTGTTGTAGAAGCGCGCGAACAGATTATGCAGAACCGTCCAGTAGACACGTGCGCACCAGCACATGGCGGCTCCTCGCTGGATCTCTGCCGGCTGGATGTGCCCCAATGGCCCAATTGTCGAATCTCTGCTTAGCCCTGACACGTTACTTTTTTTGGTGCTGGTTCTAATCCGCGGCCGTTGCGCCATATCGCGAAGAAGTCGGAGCGAAGACTGAGCAACAGTGCCTGCGGCCAGAGACTACGCGCGTCTGGACGCCTGCCACAGTGTCTATTAATTAAAATGTGCTTAATGCGCAGCTCAGTTGTCGTTCCAGTGCGTATGTGTGTGTGTGTGAAAATGACCATATGTAAATATCATATAGATATATACACATATTAATAACCATATTTGTATACCCTTTAAAAATTGGTTCAAGGGATATGAGATAAAAGGAAGTTGCTTTCAATTTAAAATATATCTTTATAAATATACACAATTCTCTACATTCATGATAAGCATAAACAGTCCCCAGAATTTATATTCACAGGGACCCATGGATCTGTTATATGGTCTCTAAGAATATTTAGATTAATATATATCTCGGAATCATAACAAACTCTCAATATAATGAATATAATAAAAAAACCATATTAATAACTGCCCTGAGATAGACACAGGGTAGCTTCTAGTCAGTCAGCGCTGTCTATAACATGTTCATTTGTTCTGTATGGGGAAGCATAAAAGTTGGGTGCTCGATGTTGTTATTTTTATTGCCCTGGCTGGTTGGTAATCCGATATCGAAACTGTCACAGTCTTTGAAGGCGCAGCCAAGTGCAGATCGTGTCAGTTGGTTCGACTCGGTCGCAGCCCGTTCCCACAAGCGGCCACAGTTTGTAAACAATCGCGAAATGTGTGCTTAGAGTCAGCTCCCGAAACGACACATGCTCCACAAACACAACCCCAACCCCACACAGGCCCAGGCAGCAACCCCAACTCAACCATTTGCTACGACGAGTTACTCATCGCAATTTGCAGTTTGGGTCTCCGTCTGAATGGCATTCATTGATGTTGTGCGCTGCTAGAATTACACGATCTCAAGAGATCTTGTTACTTTATAGTTCAGGTACCAAAGAGCGCAGACACGCTGGAGCCAACTGGCTGCCATGTGGTGCACATTAACGAACTGTAACATAACATATTAACTTGGAATCTGTTATACAATATACAGTTGACTTTTTTGGATGATATATGGATTGTATGGGAATAAATTAGTGATTAATTAGTTAACCAGGTAAATTCTATGTATATTAATTATTATGCAGAATATGACAAGTCAACATCATCATTAATTTTTAACAACAAAAATGACTTGCTGGTAAAAACATCAGTCTTATTGGCATTCAGTCTTATACTACTAGCTGTTGCTTCAAACTTAACGACAAGCATACTAACTTGACGAACACGCATTAAGCTTAAATAAACTTTTACATATGCAATACATTAGCAATGACAGAAACCTTTACGAAAGCGTAATTGACTTAGCTTAACTTTAACCAGCGCGCAGTATTAGAGTTAAGGTTTCTCAAATACCACAACCTACAGCATGGACACACACCTAGAAGGCAGCTCGCGCGCGTTTGTTGAAAGCTTTACTAAAGTCATAAACGGAAGGAACTAAAAAAACATTTAGTCTGGTAATAAATTGAAATATTCAATTTTGGTGACAAAAAGCTGCCAATTGGAAGCAAAAAAAGTGCCTAAGACATATGCCCAACCAAATGCCTAGAACTATAAGTATGGGCATAAGTATAAGACCTGTATAAGTAAGCTCAAAGGGAACAATAACACTTTGCAGGCGTGACACGTGCGTCAAATATATTGCTATATATATGTATAGATATATACAAATCAATAATAACAATGCGTTATAATATGATCGCAAACAGTAGCAACTGTGGCGCTTCCAATTAATATGCCTCCAACAATTTTGATTGAACTGCTAACAAGCTAGGGCCAGCGACAGCGACAGCCTCAGTCGACATCGGCCGTTGACATTGCCGTCGCACTCGCTTTTGGCAGCGATCATAAAGCAACTTAGTTGTACAAATTGATTTTGGCCATATGCAGAGCCGTTTGAATTAGCTATGAACCAGGCGCGGCGTGGCGGCCAGCCCAGGGTCTACCCGGCGTGAGGGCAATGTCAGTCAAGGTGGCGCCGCAGTTCAGATCGATCTGTGTCAGCAGCGGTTCCCGTTGGATCTGAACGGGTTGCCCATTAATTTCAATCAACCCACAACTGTCGATGCTGATTGAAATTGCCGACAGACTCATTTATTTACGCATTTCGGTGTCAAAGAATTGTGACGAAATTGTGTCGTTTATACCTCAATTATGCGGTATTTTTGGATTGACCATGACTATCCCTGGGCGTGTAAAAGAGATTTACAGCGGGCCGCAAAAATAAACAGGCAGCATGGCCGATGTGGCGTATGCTTAATGTGAGCACACGCACAAATGATTTGCGGTCATTTTATGCGCCACTAAAAACCGAATAAAATAAACACTCATATTCGCATTCACAGATTTGATTTCCTTTTTTGTTTGTTGTGTGCTGTTTTGTTCCTGCCTTTTATCCCTGGGGCAAGCGCTAACTTCAAATGGCAACAGCTCGCTTGGCGGCAGCCATAGAAATTGACGCACAAAACTCACCACAGACACACTCACACACATGCACAGAGTGCATTATTCAACATGCGAAAGCATCAAAGTGGGCAACTGGGAGTGCGATTGGGTCTGGGTTCCGAACGGTGGCTTGTTCTCGCCTGCTGCCGAATCCAGTCGAATCCGCGTCGTGTCCCAACGAAACGCCGCTGCGCAACAGACGCCGCCGCAGTCGTAGGGAACACGCTATCACATTTGCTTATCCGGCATCGGCATCGGCATCGGAGTGGGCATCGGAGTCGGCATCGGCGTTGGCGGCAGTGTCGTATCCCAGCGAATTGTTTGCGCATTTTGCCATCGAGCGTTGGGCAGCGCGGATGAATTTCGCAGCAGGCGCGAATGTGCCAACAGAAAATACAATAAAAACTAATCTAAATAAAAATAAAAATAATATTGGTTGGGCTCAAAAACACCGAGTGCCATAAAACTTCATAAATAACAGCAAATCCCCAAGGCGAATAATACGAAATACCCACAAATAATTGTGATTGAAACGCGACCCGAAAAGTTTTCCATCCAATTTGATAGCCGCATCAATCGGCAAGTGTCAATTAAATTAGCGCGCCAATATCGGAGCCAGATTTTGAGCTCGGGCCAACAGGCGCAACAGGTGCCATCATATTTTGAAAGCAAGGCACTAATCCGCGAGTTTCAAGTGAAATTGAAAACCAGTGACGAAATCTTTATAATAAATAAGTGAAAATTTGCCAAAGAGTGTTGCAGGAAGTGTACAGAGTGTTCTGCTATATATGCAAGTTTGACTACCCAAAACGGCAAATCTTATAAAAGAAAAGTTTTTATTTAGCAGGTAAAACATTTGAGAATTATTTTAAAAAAACATCTGAATATGAATTTGAGCATTAATTATTATTAATACTAAATGCTGCATAATTTTGTTAAGAATTATAGCTGTCTAAGCTTAAATATTGGATATATAAATTGGGCTTATATGTACATTTCTTAAATCCTAAACGCCTGTATTTAGCAGGCAGGAAGAGGCATATCCGCCTTCATAAGGTGTTAATACCGAGTATAGACTCGCTTGCGTCTGTATACGAAAAATGCGAGAACTATAAGAGCTAGATACCTGACATTTAAGATATATACCATATTCTCGTAGAACAAACCATAGCAAAAATAAATATCCATAATATTGATAAATATCGATTTTATTTAAAGTATCACTTGAGAATTATATGAATTAGATTAATCAAACTTTGTATTAAGGTTCTCGTATGCACACAGGAATAATTTGGAATATTTTATTTATTGAATGAAGGCACTGAAAATTTCATATAGATCGGACTGAAACACCGAAGTTATTCTAGAACGCTATTCCCATAGTGTGGGGCGAGGGAAAAACAGCCAAGCCGCTGGCACTTCCGACGCGAGCACTCAATTATGAATATAAAATATTATTTTGTATTTCTGTAGAAATAATAAAGGCTTCTTTCTGGTCAGCTACACTGAAGCAAACTAAAACTTTTATCTACTAATTGTGTAATTGTAATTGTGTTTGATATTTTATAGACTCTGATGCGACTGGCGCTCAGTTAGGTGTACAAAATATACTTACCTAATACCCTTCAACTTGAGCTTAAATAATTTGCGAGCCAAATAGACTTCAGTTTGGCCAATAAAACCATAAATTTTAATGGCACCGAAATTTGGTATGCCGAGCAGGGTGTTAATATTTGAATACATAGAACATATGCGCTGTCCAAAAGCAGTGAGAAAATCAATAAAACTCGTAC